GAGTGGCGGCGGAGGCGCGGGCAAGGCCAAGAAGTCGGTGGACAAGAACAGCAACGAGTACCGGGTGCGGCGCGAGCGCAACAACATCGCGGTGCGCAAGAGCCGCGACAAGGCCAAGCAGCGCAACGTGGAGACGCAGCAGAAGGTGCTGGAGCTGACCAGTGACAATGACCGCCTGCGCAAGCGGGTGGAACAGCTGAGCCGCGAACTGGACACGCTGCGGGGCATCTTCCGCCAGCTGCCAGAGAGCTCCTTGGTCAAGGCCATGGGCAACTGCGCGTGAGGCGCGCGGCTGCGGGACCGCCCTGGGCCAGCCTCCGACGGGGACCCAGGGGTGGTTTGGGGTCGCCGGATCTCGAGGCTTGCCCGAGCCATGCGAGCCAGGACTAGGAGATTCCGGTGCCTCCCGAAAGCCTGGCCTGCTCCGCGTGTCCCCTCCCTTCTTCTGCGCCGGACTTGGTGCGTCTGAGATGAGGGGGCCAGGCGGTGACTTCTCCCTGCGAGGAGGGGAGAATTCTTGGGGCTGAGCTGGGAGCCCGGCAACTTTAGTATTAAGGATAACCTTGTGCCTTGGAAATGCAAACTCACCGCTCCGATGCCTACCGAGTAGGGGGAGCAAATCGTGCCTTGTCATTTTATTTGGAGGTTTCCTGCCTCCTTCCCGAGGCTGCAGCAGGCCCCCATGAGAGAAGGAGGGGAGCAGACCCCTGACAGGAGGAGGGCTCAGGGAGCTGAGATCCCGACAAGCCAACCGGCCCCAGCCGCTCCTCCGAGCCTGTCCTTAGAAATGGGGGGAAACATAGGGACTTGGGGCTTGAAACCTAAGGTTGTTCCCCTAGTTCTACATGAAGGTGGAGGGTCTAGTTCCACGCCTCTCCCAGCTCCCTCCGCACACACCCCACCCCAGCCTGCTATAGGCTGGGCTTTCCCTTGGGGCGGAACTCACTGAGATGGGAGTCACCAGGTGACCAGTGGGAGCCCCCACCACGAGTTAGACCAGAAAGCTAGGTCTTGAGTCAGCTCTGAGGATGTATACCCCTGGTGGGAGATGGAGACCTAGAGATCTGGCCGTGGGCGGGCTTGGGGGGTGAAGGGCCACTGGGACCCTCAGCCTTGTTTGTACTGTATGCCTTCAGCATTGCCTAGGAACACGAAGCACGATCAGTCCATCCCAGAGGGACCGGAGTTATGACAAGCTTTCCAAATATTTTGCTTTATCAGCCGATATCAACACTTGTATCTGGCCTCTGTGCCCCAGCAGTGCCTTGTGCAATGTGAATGTGCGCGTCTCTGCTAAACCACCATTTTATTTGGTTTTTGTTTTGTTTTGGTTTTGCTCGGATACTTGCCAAAATGAGACTCTCCGTCGGCAGCTGGGGGAAGGGTCTGAGACTCTCTTTCCTTTTGGTTTTGGGATTACTTTTGATCCTGGGGGACCAATGAGGTGAGGGGAGTTCTCCTTTGCCCTCAGCTTTCCCCGGCCCCTCGGCCTGGGCTGCCCACAAGGCTTGTCCCCCAGAGGCCCTGGCTCCTGGTCGGGAAGGGAGGTGGCCTCTCGCCAACACATCACTGGGGCTGGGAGCAGGGAAAGACGGCTTGGTTCTCTTCTTTTGGGGAGAACGTAGAGTCTCACCCTAGATGTTTTATGTATTATATCTATAATATAAACATATCGAAAGTCAATGTCGGTGTCTTTTTAAAACCAGAAAGAAGCTACTTCCAAGGTTGTCTGTGGGCCAGGCCACATTTGTAAATAATACAGCATTTTCCCTGGCGGCAATCCTGACTTTCATGAGCTCTCCATCCACCCCCAGCCCCTCTTTACCCTGAGGGGGTGACTTACTTCCCCCAGGCAACACAAATAAATAGCAGAGGACAAGGCTCCAAACGGAGAGTGTCCAGAGCCTGAAGGCAGTCTCGGGGTCAGGAGAGGGGGCCTTCGAAGAGGTTACGGGGCTGAGGCTTTGGCAAGGTCTTATCTGCCCCTGGGAGGAGAGGGAGTCCTCTGCCTGAGGGGCAGGCCAGGCTCAGCAGGGCCAGGCTCAGGGAGCCCTTTGTCCAGACTTCCTTCCAAATCACCTACAGCTCCAGCCCCGGCAGCCTCACTCACACCCACCGCAGCTCCAGCTTCCACCAGGACCCTCAGCCAGCAGGAAAAGGCCTCCAGTGGTAGGACCCTCCAACCCTCTCCTCTTTCCCTAGACCATGTGGCTATACCCTACCCCTGCGAGGCCCAAAGGCAGCCGGAAGAGAAAGACCCCTCCATCCAGCCCTCCACACCTGCCCAGCCCCAGCCCTCACAGGAAAGGCGGCAGAGGCAGGCCTGAAACAGGGGTCTGGTCCTGCCCCACACACTGGCTATTCAAGAACCGCCCCAGCATCCACACTCCCCACTGCATTCATCCTGTACCCAGCAGGGGACTGAGTGCTGGCGTGCCCCCAACTCCGATGAGCACCCTGTAAGGTCAGGCACTCCAGCACCCCCTTAGCAGCAGTGACAGCTAAACAAGGGAGGGCAGCCCTTATCCCTGAACTAACAAGGCCCGGGAGGAAGAGGCCCAGGAGGCTAATGGTGCTTTTCAAATTTTATCCTCTTAGAGGGTAAAAGACAAATTGCGCTTTTTTTTTTTTTAAACTCTGCACTGAGAGAACGTTCACTGAGTGGCTTACTGTGTGTGCCAGTGCGGGCTGGGGCATTTTCGAGAAATTACACATTCCTTTTACAATCTGGAAGTTCAGCTTTACCTGCCTGCGTGGTTAGCTGGCACCCCTTCCGGCCCCCTGCTCTGTCCTGTGTCTGGCCGCCTCCTCACCCACGGCCGCCCTTGGCAGAGGAGAGGCCACGAGCCCAGTGAGTAGGCGGCGCCTGCCCTGCCACCCTGGGAACAGAGGAGGCAGAGCCCCACCGCGTGCCCAGAGGCCTGGGGCAGGCCACAGCTTGCTAAGCCCCAGCAAACCCTCTGAGTTCAGTGCTAATTCCAGTTTTTCTTGTTTGAGGGGGCTGATCCCTGGCTTCCCCCTTTCCCCCCAGAACAGGTCCTAGGACGGGAGGGGGTGGGGCGACCCTCCTGCCCTCACTCCTTCCCCTCCTCTGTGCTGTGCCAGCCCGCTAGGGCTTTCCTCTTTCAAAGCTGTCGGCTCCGGAAGGGATCCCTCCTACCCCGAGTCCTCCTGGTCCTGAGTTCCAGGGTGGGCTTTGTTAGGGCCAAGACGGATCCAATCCCATCCAGCCCCAGGAAAGGGATGAGGAGGGCGAGGTCCCCAGGGTGGGCCAAAGGAGAGGGGAGGAGGGCCCTTTGGGCGGCATGGGGTGAACTTGCCCAGCACGTACCCCGTGCCCAGCCATAGGGGCGTCCTGGGAATAGAGTCGCCCTTTGCCACCCGCCGCTTCCTGCAGGGTTCCTCACAGTTCCCCTCCTGACTGCGGCCTTCAGGAAGAACCACTCCAAGAGCCCAGCACTGAACACACCTCAAGTACTTATGGGATGTCTACTGTATGCCAGGGCCTGCACCAAAGATGGGGCGCTGGGCTGGGAACAAGCAGACTCTGCTCTGGCTCTCAGGGAGCTCACACCCTTGAGGCCCCAACCTGTGGTTTAAGGGTGCCAAGTGCAATGAAGGGGAGCTCAGAGTGTGAACGGGGTCCACAAGGGAGGGCTTTCTGGAGGCAGCAGCTTTGATGAAACACCTAGGGAGGGTGGCCTCCTTCTGGCCACCTGGATGCGTCTGGATGCTTCTCCTTTGCCCTGATCTCCCCTTGACAGGTAGCACCAGACTGCAGGGACCTCGCCCCCACCTTGCTGTGCCACTCCTGAGCCCTCTGTCCCATGACAGCGCTGTTCAGGATTAGCTGGCCTTCAAGGAAAGGGCAAGGGTAGAAGGGAGGGAGGCATCTCCTCTGCTGCCAGATGCTTCCTGACGGCTTAGTGCTGTCACGGATATTAGTCTTATCTCCTGGATCTCCTGGGAATCTGTGAACTTGGGGTTTGGCCCTGCCACCTGCGATGAGCCACTGGGCCTGGTGAGGAGTGTCTGCCCCTCCCAGCTCTCCCACCCGCTCCTTCCCAGACAGGAACCTGCCAGGCCTCCTCCAGGAGCTGCTGGTCTCACAGGAGGGGAAGGGGCCCCTCATGGGGAAGGTCAAGGGAGAGCAGAAACCCCCGACTTTGTTTAGCTGAGAGGGGCCTCCAAGGCACCCACAGGCCTTCTCCAGCCATGGGGCAGAGTCCTTGCCTAGACGGTGTTGATATTCCAGCTGTTTCTTTCCTATACTAGTGAGGATGGGAAGACTTTTCTGTTCCTTTTTTTTTTTTTTTTTTGAGTTTAGGGACAGAGTCTCGCTCTGTCACCCAGGATGGTGTACAGTGGTGCAGTCACCACTCCCGCAACCTCAAACTCCTGAACTCACACAATCCTCCTGCCTCAGCCTCCTACTCAGCCTTTAAGTAGCTGCTGGGATTAATTTTATTTTTTTGTAGAGATAGGGGTCTCACTGTGTTTCCCAGGCTGGTTCAGAATTCCCGGCCTCAAGCAATCTTCCCCTCCTCAGCCTCCCAAAGTGCTGGGATTACAAGCATGAGCCACCCTGCCCAGCCTCTTTTTCCTTTCTTTAGATAAAATTAACCCACCAGCACCTTTGAAAGCTTTCTTGATTCTGTGAAAGACTCTTGCTCTCTCTTCTCCCTCAACAGCCCCACCTCTCCCCCTCCCCCACGCCCCTCTCTGCGGATGGAGCGTTTGACGTAAGCTGAGGCCCAGGAAAGATATCGATTCACTATCAAAGCATCCTAGCCCCATCCCAGAGCAATTAAAAAGCCAGATGGGATCTCTGGGAAAACGGCATTAATAACATGAACAATCTGTGTTGGCCAGGGGGAACCCAGGAGCCCCAGGCAGGGGTGGGGCTGTGGAGGGAGGGAAGCTGGGGTGCCGAAGTGGAAGCTCGCAGCAACATCTCCGCCCTGTTGTGACGGCCGGCAATGGGGCCGCTGTAAGGATATGCTAGGTCCAGCTGCAGCTGGGCTGTCCCCTCCAGCCCTTGCAAGGCCCACAGTGCACCCTGGATCCTGGTGGCTGCAGACCGAGCCAGACAAATGTGGAACCCATTACTCAGACAGCTGCAGCCCTGGCCAGCCCCATTCTGGCACCCAAGAGCTTTGCTTCCCTTCGGTTTGTTTTTATTTATTATTTTTCTAGCCTTCTGGCCCCACCCACTAGGAACAGGCCTCTCCGGGTTTGGCTGGCATAGACACCCTTTCTCTCCATTTGCTGTGCCCACATCCGCTGCCTGTGCTCGACAATAGCAGAAGACAGTGTTAGGGAACCCCAGTGGGCCTGAACCCCAGAAACTCCCCTTAGAATGCAAAGACTGGGTACAGTGGCTCATACCTGTAATTCCAGCACTTTGAGAGACTGAGGTGGGAGGATTGCTTGAGTCCAGGAGTTCAAGACCAGTCTGGGCAACATAGTGAGACCCTGTGTCTCCAAAAATATTATGCAAGTGTGGTGGCACATGCTTGTAGTCTCAGCTACTCGGGGGGCTGAAGAGGGAGGATCGGTTGAGCATAGAAGTTGGAGGCTGCAGTGAGCTATGATCACACCACGGCACTCCAGCCTGGACAACAGAGCAAGACCCTGTCTCAAAAGTAAGAAGAAAACTGAATGCAAAGTGGTAGATACCTCGCGCAAGATCAGCTGAGCTCTCGAAAGCCAGCATGATTGCTGGGGCAGCGGGGCACAGGGTTCACACTGCCTGGCTGCCTCGAGGGGCCCCGAAGAGGCTGGACCAGGGCGACAGGCAAAGAATCCTCTACGAATTCAAAGCCTTTTCTAGGCAGAATCAAGAAGTGAGACTTTTCTATAGCAGACCCATTTTTCAGACTTGTCTGCAGGCTCGCCCGACTTAAAGACATAGTTCTCCTGCAGCCATCAAGCTGGGGTGGGAAACTAGCTTGTTTAAGATACATCCTTTGTGGATTGTCGCATAGCCAGAGAGCCATTTGCTGACACTCATCCTCACTGTCCCCTCGACCTCATCCTCCACCTTCATCCTCCCTGGAAACTCTTCTCCCCAAAGTCACACTAGCTCTGAAAGCCAAATCAAATGACCACTCCTGGGGTCCTTCCTGCCTGTCTTGGCCTCCTGTGAACTTGGCCGTGGCAGACTTTCAGTGTCTGGCTATGCAGGTCTTGAACATACGTGTTTGAATGCAAGGATCTCGCTCCTTCTTTACAAGACACCCTCACCCTCTCCTTTCTATCCAAGGGTCCACTGGGTTGGCCCGAGGTCCACCAAGCAAGCCGCACCATTGTCGGAGGCAACGCAAGAGCACAATAAATAAGGCTCTCCCGTGGTGGCGCACTGAGTTGTAGCTTCTACAGTTACTTTGTTGTTTTGTTTTGTTTGACAAAGTCTCACTCTGTTGCCCAGGCTGGAGTGCAGTGGCACAATTTCGGCTCACTGCAACTTCCGCTTCCTAGGTTCATGTGATTCTCCTGCCTCAGCCTCTTAAGTAGCTGGGATTACAAGCATGCACCACCATGCTTGGCTAAATTTTTTTTTTTTAATCTTTTTTTTATTTTTAGTGGTGATGGGGTTTCACCATGTTGGCCAGGCTGGCCTCGAACTCCTGACCTCTAGTGATCCACCTACCTCAGCCTCCTAAAGTGTTGGGATTACAGGC